GTCTATCCAGAGGCTTCCCCCGCCACTCGACCCAACTCACCACCAGATGGTGATCAGTTGACAACTCCGCCCCTCTCTTTACCCGAGTGTCCAAAACATACGGCCTCAGGTCAGATGATACGATAACGAAATCGATCATGGACCTTCTGCCTAGGGTGCTCTGGTACCACGTACACTTATGAGCATCCTTATGTTCGAACATGGTGTTTGTTATGGCCAATCCATGACTAGCACAGAAGTCCAGTAACAAACCACCACTCCGGTTCAGATCAGGGGGGCCGTTCCTCCCAATCACGCCCCTCCAAGTGTCTCCATCATTGCCCACATGTGCGTTGAAGTCTCCCAGCAAGATTAAAGAGTCCCCTTCAGGAGCCCCATACAGGACTCTTTCCAGGGTCTCCAAAAAGGCCGTATACTCTGAACTGCTGTTGGGTGCATAAGCACACACAACAGTCAGAGTTTTCCCCCCCATAACCCGCAGGCGTAGGGAGGCGACCCTCTCGTCCACTGGGGTAAACTCCAACAACGAAGCACCTAACCGGGGACTTGTGAGTATCCCCACACCCGCCCGGCCCCTCACACCTTGAGCAACTCCGGAGAAGAATAGAGTCCAACCCCTATCCAGAAGTAAGGTTCCAGAGCCGACGCTGTACGTAGAGAAAACATATATATCGTTTTTAAATCTGTACCCACTTATTAAAGTCTGTTTATTTGGGCCATGATGTGTCTCAGTGTATTGTTGTGACAAAGCACTTTCTGGTGTAATATAATTGAGTAATGAAAGAAACGGTGACATAATGGAAAAGTGAAGTGGGGGGATAGAAAATAATTACCAAGAACTGCAAGTGAGGAAACCCAAAGCTTGAAAAAAAAATTCCCACCATGATCATTTAGGTCTCCAGTGGTTTTGGTTTTAGTGACAGTCAGTAACACATCGGCGGAAGGTGCATCATCAGCAGATACCATCTTCCGACCCTTCAGCACCATCTGCATCTTTGCAGAAATGTTGTCAGCAAAGCCATGAATTACTGAATATTACGTCTTTAACAGCAGATTTGTTTTTACCTAAACAACTGCGCACGGATACATAGCTACTATTGCAAGACCTCCTTTCAAGAACATTACACATCAAAGTAAAAAAACTGAGCACTGAATCAATACAGACCAACCAGTAGTTCAAGCATAACATTAGTGTAATACATATCAGCTTTTTGAACAAATGTGGGCATCACAAGTCTACAAGACATGTCTGTAAGATTCATGGCTAATTTACTTTAGGAGGACAAATCTCTGACTTGAAATTGTTACTGACCCACATAATTGTTTGAATCTCCTTTCACATGAGGACTGTTTCAGATATTCAATTTTATTGGCTTAAGTCTTTTGGAAAACATATTTTCTTTAGTGATTAGAGTCCCTGCTCATGAGCACATAGTTTATAAAAGATAATTAAGATGGCTTTTTCTTCCTGTGCTTTGTATTATTAACTCCCCTTACGTAATTTGATAAGAAACGCATTTTGCATGAGTAAAATTGCAATGCACTCATGGTCTGGTGTGTCTCTACTCTTTGCCACCTGCAGAGGTGTCTTCCCAACGTTAAGATGTTCCCAGCTCGGCCCCAGTCTCCTCACTACCTCCCGGTGTCTGCCTCGTGCAGGACAGTGCAGAGTAGTTTCTTTACTGTGATGTCTTTAACCACAGCCTCACGAAGAAGCATTGCCACACGTTTGTGGCCCCTCTCAGCTGCAGCATGAAGTGGTGTTAGCCTCCATGCATCCCTCTCCATTGTGCCCTTGTTGTTGAGTTACTGTAGAATAGCTAAAACCACGCTGGCATGCCCACCAGCTGCTTTGGTATAGAGAAGCGTGGAGGCGTGTTTGGGTTGGCTTTGGCCAACAGCAGTAAGTCTCAAACAGCTTCCACAAGGGAAGAGGTGGCCTAGTGCAAGGCCGACTACGCATTTACCTCAATCAAATATCTACCTACAGGTTTGATAATTACCTGTGGTCCAGCGCCCAACAACAAATCCATTTATGTTTATTACACTGAGCTGCCAGGTTCAGAAGGGTTTGGGGTCCAGAAATGTTTGTTTGTTTGCCTTTTGCAGCAATGTCTGCACTACACTGCAAGTACGTATAGAGACAGGTGCAATGTTAAGGGAATATAAAGTGGCATCCAATTTAGCCTGTTTGGCTTTCAGCACTCTGAAATTAGATTAAAATACTTTGGCTATTATTTTATGATAACATCTGGTTTCCTTCTAGAAATCAGCCTGAAAGATGTGGTTCAGACGGTTGCTGCTACATTGTTGGTTTAATCCATAGACTGTATGGTTAATCACTGACACACATGGTTGAGTGGGGAAATAATGAATCGTAAGACGACACTGACCTCTAGTGTTGTTGTTGCTGTCTGCAAAACTAACCAAAAATTAAATGTACGCTGAAGTAAAGTTATGCAAAATATTACATAGTTGCCCCACTTTTGGTAGTACAAAAACACAACAAAGTACAAAAAACACAACAGAAAGCTGCTTTAGTGTATTCTCGACAACGTTTTGTTTGCAGTTTTTATAGGCCTAACATTAAAGCCTATTTCAACTTCATTTAAATAGCCTAACAATCCTAAAACCACAGCCAATCAGATCATAGCATGCAGCCCAAAGGGCTTCACAGAGCAAGATAAGACAAATAAATAAAAGTTACTCAACATAATCAGTTCATGGTCTGACTAAACAATTAGATCAATGAGCAATACAAAAAATAACCTGTTCCCAGAATCAATATATTCAAAAATGTATGAAAACCAATGTTTAAGACCTAAAAAGTAAGGCAACACACATTTTAAAGCTCCAAGTAAGAGCCAGGCTAAAACGATATATCTTTATTTTCAAATGATTTATAGAGCTCAGACTCAGATTACCCAAAACTGAGCATCTATATTTAGATATTGGGTTTTCAATTTCATTCATTTTTTATGTGGAAAATGGAATGCATCTATTCACTTTGCTTTCCATAGGATACGTTTTGTTATAGGTTACAATCTTTTCATTGCTTTGTCCAGTGTGGCCCCCTCGGATAACTTCTCAGGGCTCACGTTGGTATTATTACGCAGAGATTATAGAGTCGACTCACTTCCCGTAACACACGCCTCCTCGGTCGTGACGTAGATCTTCCGAGCGCCCCCTCTCCTTATATGGTAGGGAAGGACTCCGCTTTCCGGGAATGATGTCACGCTGCCCCAAATTTGAAAAAGATCCGAACAGCAAAATGATAGACCCCATTAAAATCCTATCACGTAAATGCATAATAAATAATAACAATTGTGACAGTCTTTGGACCTAACAAATGACTTAGAATAAATCTGCTTGCAACTCTTTTTGATATCTCCTATATCTCTTTTATAATCATATCGACATATGTTTATGTTATGTTGTTTAATTTTTAACTCATGCTCTTACTGAACAACTTCCCAAATCGTGATCATGAAAGTAAATCTAAACCAAAACATTCATTGCATATGCTTTTATAACAGTGGATATTGCATTTACCTAATGTATTTTCCTTTGTGTATGAATTTATTAAATAGTCGCTAACCAGTTTTACATGTATGTGTTAAACCATGCTTTGAAAATTCTCTCTATGGACTTATAAGCAAAAAATATAAGAAGAATCAAAGAAATAAGAGAAAATACAAAATAAAAAGGATAAATACATGATACAAGACATATAAAGCTATTTATTTTACGATAAGGCTTTATTGTGTATCAGCATATCTAATCTTTAAAGACTCCATTTGATAACCTGTCCTGTTTTTATAACACCTCATGAAATGTGTGTTTAAATTTTCAAGCAAAAACTGATGGTCCTATTCAAGCTGCAGTTGAGGCATGAAGATTGATAATCTCTGTGGTCTGTGTCTCCCTCTAGTGTTTGTTTTGGAGCAGGACGCAATAGTGGCTGATGATTGTCCAACATAAAACTACTACCTGAATGCAATATCTGACCTATCCCATTCACCTGCTGTAACTATCTGCAGGACCTGGTGGTTTACTGCAATAGGTGGCTTTACTTTCAGTAGTGTACAGCCCATAGGTATAGCCACTATTATTATTATAAAAAACAAAAAAACATTCTTTCTGAACTGTTCATATCTGAACATACTGGGATGGATTTTGGCAGCCTTACTGATGGAAACACATTTTTGACACCTTTGTCATTCCCTGAATTCAAAGGCCTAACAATACGTTTCTGACTTTGTGTTTCAGTGTTTGTTGTTGGATCCTTGTTTACATTTTGATTATGTTTGTTCCTTTTAAGTTACTGTTTCTGAGAGGAGCTTATTCTCATTGAAAGTACAGTATCTGATAGCAGGCTACAATGTTTCCTTAATTGCACTCTTTTACAAAACCATGGTGGTTTGTTTTATTAATTTGATATTTAGTAATGTCTCATTTATGGTGTAGCCTTTATCTACTCAGGACCTAAGACTTTATTCAAGGCAGTTTTCGACATACTGGAGTATGTTTGAGTTAACACTTCAAACAGGGGAGGAAGTATTGTTGAATAACTGTATGGTGCAATGGAGCATAGCCTGTGATTTTCCTGTTATGTGTCAAATCAGTGACACCTCGTATGTCTTCAGTTGAGATTTATCACATACTTCAACATGTTGTAACTCTGACAGTGTTGTATTTACACATTGTTAACATCTGAGAACAATGGGAGGTTTTTGTTCATATACGGTATAGTTATGTGTGTCTTGAGACAAAATAACCTGGACTTGTATTGGCCTCCATCTGTAAGGTAGCTTGGTCTGTCAGCTGACACACAATTACTTAGCATTGATCAATACAAGCACTAATGGAATTTACCTTGAGGTACTGGGAACTGGCAGCTCTTGCAACATGTTGCAACATGTTTTATTGTTTGAGCTCCTGACATGGCACACCCACTTTTTTTCTGTCACACACTTTCAAGAACACAGAGGCAATGTTTCTTCATTTCATCTGGTTTATTTTCTTAAATATTGATTTGTTTCTGAGTTGCTCAGAAAATAAAACATAAAACAGTTCAACAGTATTTCATATTACAAAGGGTAAACATAAGTACTCCAAGTTGATCTTATATACATATAAAATGAGTGAAACCCCATTAAACAACTTTAGAAAGTAAATCTTAAAGTTTTCTAACTGCATTTCTTACAATAAAGAAAAAAGTACTTTGTACTATATCTCAGAAGTCAGGCAGCTTTTGTTACAACTTTTCAGTCGTTTAGAGTTGGCCTACATGCCCAAGGCAGAGGCCATTAAGCAAGAAAAAGTCTCTATTGCATGTTCTTAAATCCTCTAATACTGAATTTCTCCTTTGATGGTCATGATAAGGTTCATGCAGAGCTGGGTGTAAATCAAGAAAGTTCAGTCTTGTCCAGCTCTGTAAAAACAGCAGGAAACAGAAAGCTATCCTGCCTGCATGCCCTCTCTGTTTCATGGCTACTGTCACTGTCCCGGGTCCATCTCTGGCACCGGGAAGCCCGTGGCCCTCAGGAACTTCAGTGCGGCCCCGGTCCTGCCAGTGTCTCGCCACATCATCCCAAATCCCGTCCGGATTTTCAGGAGATACGGCCACTCACTATCACAGGACGCATCCGTTTTACTTTCAACAGTATCCCCTCTCTCCGCCGCCGCTGATGACACCGCCTCAGAAGGTCTGGAGCTGCTGCGTTAACATGAGCTGGCACCCGCTGTTCACGTGGTTCATCACTTTCTGTTTTAGCTGGGCCACCTGCTCCCGCAACACGTTGGCGGTGGACGAGAGCTCCGAGTTCTGGGACTTGAGGTTCTTCACTTTATCCTCCAGCCTCGAGATGCGCTCCAGCTTCCTCTTTCGGCACTTGGAGGCAGCGACGCGGTTCCTCATTCGCTTTCTCTCGGCCTTGATGCGCTCCTGGTTCTCCATGTTGATCGGGGAGAGAGGAGGCGTCTCCCCCGGCATCTCAGGCACCGTTTGGGGCTCCTCTTTGAGCGCCGAGAGCCTGGAGGATGGCTGTCCGTAGATGGGAAGCTGTGGCCCGACAGAAGAGAAGGACATCACAGGGGCTGAGGTGGTGTAATTTGGTGCCGGGTTAAAAGTGTCCAAGTCCTCATAAACAGGCGAGTCCGAGCGCATGGCTATGTTGTTGTTGTAAACGGTGGCACCGGCAACAGATGACACAGGCGGCAGGGAAGTGTTGACACTTGTCTGAGAAGCTGAGGTGACATTCAGAGTGCCAGGCATGTGTTGGTGGTGGAGCTCAGCCAGGGCTCGGACAAACCCCTCGGCGAAGCCTTCCTGCTCATCGGTGACATTCTTGGGACACATGAACTGTGTAGGAGTCGGCGTGGTGGTGATGAGTCCGTTGCTGGACTGGATTATAAGCCGCTCCAGCTCCGGGGAGGCCAGCTTCAACAAGCCCACATCAGGGGAGGTGAGGATGTCGCTGGCTTTGGCGCGGAGGTGAGGTTTCAGAGTGCCCGTCGGATCGGAGAGGTTCAGTGTCATGTTGTGTTTCAGCGCTTTGGGATTGCTGTATCCATAGCCGGCGTTGTCTTGCTGGGAGAAAGCGTTGAGCGAGTCGTCATAAAAAGTAGTTTCCATCTTGGCATACATGGAAGAGAAGCCAACGTAGCTAAAAAGTCTTTATCAAAATACGTTTTCGTTCCCCTCCTTCTCAGGGAAAAACACCGGTTTCCAATCGTCCTCTCTGTGCGTAAAGACGTCCAAACTGTGAGTGTGCTGGATTTAGCTCTTAGCTATGGTAGAAAAGCTTTCGCCAAGTATCCAGACTAGTTTTGAGTCAGTGAATGAAGTTCTCTTGTCAGGCACCGACCCTGTCTGTGGTTCCTGCTCTGCCTGGGTGTGTATATACTCTGAGCTGAGCAGCGTGGAGGCAAACCTTATCTGCTGCTGCTGCCTCTCTAAAAATAGGCATTATGTCATGACAGGGCTCTCCCATTGGCTGAGGGGCGTGTCGTGGGCGGAGTCCGGCCCTCCCGATAAGGCGCGTTGCCTTGACTACCAACCAGAAGATTCTTAAACCCGCGGTGGATTGTGGGATTAGGTAATGCTGCAAGGAGAGCGTAAACGCAGTGCATTGTGGGATGACGTATTGAGTTTGAATATCTTGTTACCCGCTTTACTGTCAGTGACTGGCGGTCAGGACAGCCAGTGCTGCTGCTGTACCTCCCTTTTCTTACCACCAGTTATTTCGTTTATTTTATAAACATTAGGTGTGCAATATACTAGTTTATTTATTATACTGTACGCTACTTCTTAACCTATTTTCATATTTCTTCCTTGTTTGTATTTCTATTTGTTTTATCATTAAATTTGACATACACTGTTGTGTGTTGAAGGCTTGTAAATATTCTTATTTTCCCAGTTTCTTCCTAAGGTATAAATGAATGAAAACATACTAATTATAGCCTAACAATAATCAAAACGGTAATCAAAAAATGTGCATGTATAATTCACTGCTTATTTATATATTATCTGGATGTTTATATACATACATAAACAAGTATAACAAAACTGTATTAACCCTTTAAAAAAATGTTAATTAATATTTTTAAGGCCATTTAAAGTAAGTTGAATTATCAATGTCATAGAATGATTAAGGCCTACATCATTACATTCTATTTGTTCTAGTTGTGGTTATTTTTTACAGTAAATTCAAAAGTTAAACTTTCTATTTTCTCTCAACATATATTTGAAAATCAATCTTGCTTTTATAACAGCCATATAGAATACCACATACCAACAGTGAATGACAAATTACACTCCTCTTCTATCCTTCCAATTAAGTTAATGTGTGTTTATATGGCTTCAAAGCATTCTATTTGAGACAGTTAAAACAAACATTCTCACAAAATGAAGCTTTGCCAGCTTAGCCTGACTTTGAAATGCCATTTTGTAACAAAGTAAATGATAATGGCTCTTATATTCTATTTATTAAGTTACCTCACTATTAACCACCTTTATAGTAGCCTTTTTATTAAAAATGTAAAATGACATGAATAGATTATAGGGTTCAGTGTATCCTTTTCTATCTTCTATTCTGGAAAGTGTCTATATTACAGCTGAATTGTAGCTTTAATTTATTTGGGTTAGAACCTTTATATATACAGTCTATGGTTAGAACTGAAGAAAGTTGAAAGCTAAACATTAAAAAAAATATTGAATATAAAATCCTTTATATGAAAAAAAACTATATATTTTTCCGTGTGCATAATGCACTCATCGTGGAAAGTCGAGTCTGCATTTTGTTTCTCAGTCTGGGACAACATGGTGGTCTCTGGTTGGTGGTCCCTTATAAATAGTCTTGTATAGCACTACACAAAAACAGTATTTTTAATGGGTGGGAGTTAAAACTTGACACCTAGGCAGGTTAATGTAAACATAGACATAATTACTTATAAGAAATGCTTTAAAGCTTTTTTATTTACGTGAAGTGTAAAGCCAAGTCCATTTTATTGAGTCATGTACTTTGGTACCTACCAGTATTTCCTCTCTGCGGTCATTAGGAGACAGATTTAATAGCACTTTTTTACTTTTACCACAGCATATAGCAGCGTCTGAAAAGCTACATTAACGACCCTTTTATTTCTGCTACAACTACAAATTGTAAAAGATAGATCTACCGACGTCTGTTCGTCCTCATAAAGAGAAAGTACATTTCCTATTATCCATGTCAGGGTGTGTAATTAGTGTACTGTAGTCCATTGTCCCTTGGCCTTTGGTCAGAAATCACAGCTGGTTTAATGGCAGGAGGTTATCCGGTGTGTCTTACGTGTTCGCCTCTAGTCCTCCACACTCCCACTGTCTGGGTCATTTTCTGCCCTGCCAGCTTTACCGCCTACTATCTCCAGCACAGCACGTCTAAATATGTCCCCCTTGTGTGACAAGTAAATCAGTCCCCTGGCGCTGGCTGGCTCAGAAAGGCACCTTAGGAGGATGAACCTGATCGTAAAACACCACCACAGTCTGACTTTTTATGGCTACTAATGTTGTCTTTATGTACTGTTGTATATGTCAAACCACTGCCATCAATAGGGCTGGATGTAAGCTGATCCAACTCGTTTACTTAACTGATCGTTTGCAGGTTATTTTTTGATTGAACTGCATGAGAGAAGATTGTTTTACTTTATACGGTAATGCATACACTAAAAGGTTAAGTTGGGTCGCATAGAGGTTTTTTGGACTGACATGGCATATAACAAACCTATTTTAAAGGATTTTTTTCTCCATTTCTCAATTTTTCCTTACAGTCTTTCTTATCCTTTCATTTTCCTTACATCCACTTTGTCGCACTTTCATATCTATTACTCTGGGACAAAACGAGAGGAAGCAGAATAAGGACAAGTTGTTAAGGTACTTGTTTACACTCAATGATCAAATGGAACAGTTTGAAATATGTATCCACTTTTTACTCATTCATCTATTCATGACTGCTTTTCTTCTGAATTAAAGCACATTAAATAATCATAAGTATGAGTTATTGTGCCTCACACCTGACAGCAGGGATCCTCGTGTATGACTTCACCCGTTGTCCCAAATAGACGAATTAAGTAAGGGTAAAAACCAAGATGTAATTTAAATGTATTATCTTGTTAAAATTGAAGCTCTTTTCAAAGTAAAATCCTATGGCACAAAGTAGGACCTTGGTATATTTGGATATAATAATGTTCAATACAGAACCCTTAAATGTTTCAAGGCTGCAGCGCTGAATAAATTGGGTCTGCTTTTCTTCTCTGTGCTTTGCGTAACGTTATTAAGGGGTAACCATCCACAGCATAGTAGTTTGCCAAAGTAATTTTCTGTGTAGGAATGTATGGGAGAATATGCATGGAGGAACACTTCTGTTAAAGTCACTACACACAACGTGAAGTTAGGATTTCCTGCTGCTGGATATTTGGTCACTTGTGGTCACATGCAGTACTTGTTGTCCGTGCATGAAGCGGCAGAGGCCTATGAGGGGAGAAGTCGATTGTTAACAGTTGAGAAATGTTTCAGAAAGAGGCCACATCCAAGTATTCAAACAAGTTTAGTATGATTTTTTGTGAGAATCTGTCTCATATTAAAGGTGTAGTGATTCTTTGTCAGGCTGCAGGCCATATTTCTCTAATTAAGGCCGATTCACTGCCACGAGTTAAACAGGTTCCGTTTTTTTGAGACTCGCTGTTCTAATTTAATTATTTTAGGTTGGTGGAGCTCACTACAGTTTTGCAGGACTCTGGGAAGTGAGGTTTCAACACGTTGGAAAAATATATGTACAATGGGATTGATGGATAGGGAGCAGGAACACTTACTTAGTACTTTCCATCTGTGGAAAACCTATAACCCATAATCTTATACAAAATCTGTATGATATAATATGGCTTAAATAATTAAAAAAATTAACATAATGATGGCGCTAGTTCAAACTAATCATGGGATCAGCAAAGTTATGCCAATTTATCCTGACTTGTACATCCATGTTTGTACCAAATTAACTTGCAATCATTACAATAGTTATAGTTATATCATTTAAAACCACGTCAAACAAAGTCTTTGGGGTCCATCATGGGAAGCCAGATTGTTTGAATAAAATTCCCTGCCAACCCTGCAGGTATATTTATGTGTAAACTTCAAAATGCTGATATCCTAGAGGATAAGTCAGAGAATTACCAAAGTGATTAGGATTTATCCTCTGGGGACCGTGAACATCTAAAACTTCATGGAAATCCAACTGACTGACAATAATATGTATTATTCAAAGCTGCTGCATGCTTAATTATTGCACATTCATTTGGCTAGTTTGCAGTTTGACCTTATAAATATTTAAAACACCTTTTCTTTATTTCATTCGACAGATCTTATGATTCAAGTACTTTTACCTGGATCTGGATCAGTGTCCTAATTTCAAGATTAATAATGGCTCACACTATGTGTTTTTCAAATAACAAGTTCCTGCTCAGCTGTATCCTGACCTGAGGTGGTACACTTTCTTCTGAGTTGTCTTTAGCCTTTCCTCCCATCTACCCCTGCTTCTCGTGGACTCTTTTTAAACCACTGTCTTCTTCCCCTCTCTCCTGACTTGCACCCCTGAACTGTTTTTCCCTCTGGACTGGATCCCACATGTCCTCCACTTACAGCCCCCCCACAGTTAGCCTTTCTCTTCTCTCCCTCTCATCTTACTCCTATCAGTGGTTGTCCAGGCAGCAGGATTTCCCCTGTGATGGAAACAGGCTGCGGCCCAAATTGTATTGTTCCAGCAGTTATTTTCAGTAAAATCTGAGTGCTTTCCGTGTTTGGGTCGGTATCATTAAAAGTTAAAGGACTGGCCAATGCACTGCAGTACAAAGGACATGCACACGTGTAAAGCCAATCAAAAAAACCTTTTTTGGGAGTCAGTACGTCACACTGAAAATCCCTTAAGGTTTGCAAGGTGAATAAGAGAGAACGGGAGACGGACCGTTGAAGCTTTTGAGACAGTGCACACTCACAATGGTCTTACCCTGTCAGAACAATTGTTGTTTCAGCTGTAATGTGAAGGAAAGAAAAGCAACCAGCTGTGGAGATTGTGCGTCAGCCTGGCTTGTAAGCAAACACATATCGGTCTACTTTTACTGTAAGTTTCATGCATTTGAAAATGTATTTGTGGAAAGCAAAATAGAGGATATTTGCACCAATATTTAAATCAATGTGAATTTGATATATCAGCGATAACAAACCAGAGGTAATCCCACTGGGAACATGGAAACACTATGAAGCTCAAATAATTTGATAAAAAATCAATTACGATTTACTATAAAATAAGAACCACATGAGTCCAAAGAGCTGAGCACCACATGTTTGATTACAAGTGTGTGAAAACTATATGCACGCAGAGAGGTTGAAAACTGTTTAAAG